TTCTGGATCATTTGGTTCTTGAGGTAAAGTCAAACATACTAATTTATTTATGTTATTAGCCATAGCACAGAAACCAACCAAGTGTGTAGTATCAATAGGGGATCATGAAGATGGTGTTTTTATTTTAGCATTAATTGTTTGTAATGAGTTGGTTGATATTATTCCATTTCGAATTTCATTTAATATCATATAAAACATAGTATCTTCATTTTGTCTACAAGGTGTTGTTAAAAATATAGGAAAAAATTTAGACCAAATAGGAGACCGAAACACTTGAGCACCACTTACAGGAAGTAGTTGTGCAAGGTCACCAATTAACAGAACTTTAATTCCACCAAAAGGTAAAGTATTATTGTGTAGATGTGCTGAAAATGCAAATCATTTTACCCATTATCACCACCTTACTGTTGCCTTTGGTCTTTCAAAGAATGTTCGTGCTTTACAAATTTATACTGGAATATTAGGTGCTATTTTAGATCCCTCTCCTAATAATAACTGGTTTCATCTATCTTTACTAAATACGGCTAGCTGGTTAAAAATCAATAACCGATTTTTCAAACAATTTGATCAAATGTTTTCATCAATTACTTTGACATGTCCTCTAAACACTTTCCCTACAGCACAGTTGATTGATGAAGAAAATATATTATCCAATAATACACTACTGCAACATCATCCTGATATAGTAGTATCACCATATGATTTTGATCCTGAAGTTCACAATGAAGATTTTCATTATAGTAGACTATTGGCAGGTTTTATAAAAAATTTTGATAATATAGATTTGCCAATTCCATATAATGATCCCAATTTGGAAGCTATACTTTTTCCTGATCTTTTTCCAGATGGGCATGGTCACTGGGAAGAAATTTCTAAAAATTTAATTAATCATCATAACCATATTGATACATATGCTAAGTATATTAAGCTTTGACTACTGTGTCCAGATTCTCGATTTCGTCTCCACTAGTACTGGCCATTTTGGTCTTATATTAATTTAGAAAAGTTACAAAACCATCAAAATAGGCAACGTATTTTATGTCAGCGAAATATAAATCGACAGCAACTTCCAACAATTACAGACTTGATTAATCAAAGTATTTATAGTAATAGACCAATTGTTGATGAAACTTTAACCACTACACTTCCTTCTTATATTCGAACTGGTGATACATATTTTCGACAATGTCAACATTCTATAAACGCAATGGTTCAAAGTTTTGGGCTACCTCAAATCTTTTATACTATGACTATGGCAGAAGAACTTTGGTCACATTTATTAAAAATTTTGTCCCATACTGATGACCATTGCACTCTACCACCTAATCGCCCTTTACATACTTATTTTCATTATTATCAGCGACTAAATTCTGTTCGAAATTTGCTATAGAAAAATCCAAATCTAAGTGAATGGGGAAAGTGGTTGCATCATTTTGAACAAGATGAATTCCAAAATCGTAGCAGTATACATACTCATAGTATAGCTTATCTTGATATGTCAATTCCAAACTTGATTAATCATAATATTATTCGTGCAGACTTGCCTGATCCTTGTACTGAACCAGTTCTTTATGAACTAGTTCGTAATCATCAAATCCATCATTGTTCACCTAATAAGTATGGTGGTCCACCTCTTCTTGGTGAACAATGCAGAAAAAAATTTCTAGCACTATTGTCAGAACACACTTATTATAATCCTACTTTTTTACGTTATACTTATCGTTGAACTAAAGAATCAGACCGGTAGATTGTTCCTTATCATGCACCCACTTTATTGTTGTGGCAAGGTCATTATAATTTTCAATATGTTACCTCTAAGTCTTTTGCTAAATATATGACTAAATACATTACCAAACCAGAAAGTTCTGATCTGTTTAAGCTAAATGAACATAATACATATCGATCTCATATCTTAGCTCGATG